TAATAATCTCGTCTATCGCGACCATATCCTGAATCAGAAAAATATAAGCGTTACTAAATAAAAGTTTTTTTTTTTTTTTTACAAAATATTATAAATATTACCGTTTTGCCGAGCTTCTTCCATTGCACGTCTTTGGAATTCTTCTTGCTGACGTCTTTCTTCATCTTGTTTTTGACGTAATAATTCAACCTCCTTCTGTCGTTCCTCCAGTGCTATTCTTGCTCTTTCCTCTTTTGACAAGAATTTTGGCTATAAAAACATATAAAAACGTGTAATTTCCAATATATATATTAGTCACTATAAACTTCATAAACAAATTTAATGGCTATAAGTAAAAGTGAATTAATATAACAAGTTCTATTCAAACAATATAGAAACAAGATTTACAAACTCTATCATTTGCTTGTTTTTCAGTTTCACGTTTTTGTAGTAATTCTTCCAGAGAAATTGGAACTTTTGGTTTTTGATTAAGGTTCGAATCTTTTACAGTTTCAGAATCAGGTGGTTTTTCAGGCTGCTGACTTTTCTGCTGTATATCATTTCCGCTATCGCGAGCCTCATGGTGAGGCTTTTCGCTCCTTGGTGAACTCCGATATGATGGCTCTGTATAATCGGAGTTCCTGCGACCTTCTCGCTCATATTCTCGACTATATCGGTGGCGATGAGTAACTTCTTCGCGGTGACGATCGCCACTATGAGGTGAACGAGATCGGTATCTTCTAGAGCTTGAAAAAAAAATTGGAGTACAATTTATAAGAAATAAATACTTTAAGGCTTAAAATGCGAAAGGTTATAAGTCACTTACTTTCTAGATCTTTCAGTATACATGTTTAAAATTAACAACTCGAAAGTGTTCAGAAGAAATTACTATATTCTATATATATATTCAATTCATGTGATGCAACTTATGATTGGAACCGTTTAGCCGCTTAAAAATTCCAGTTGAACCGGTTAGGGTAGCCGGTGGGGTGTTAATAAATGTCGGGGATGATGCTGAAATCGGATGATGCTGAAATTTTGACTTATTTTATTATGAAAATGTAAAATT